GTCATTTTTGCATGAACATCAACTTTTCAGAATTCTCTGGCATGGCACAGAGAAACATTTACACCTCCGACTAGGCCTGGAACTGGTATATGAAATCATCTTCAGACTACCATATGTTTCCCCACCAACTTGATACACTGCCTAGCCTGTACCATCTGTTACAGAATTGCAGCTCACACTATGTGCTTCACCACAGACTGTTCTGAGGACTCAGATGTCTGTGTTTGTCATTTGAATCTCACCTACATCTTACTCACACTGTGCCTTAACCCTAAGGCCAGTGAGGACTGAGATTTTTGTTGTCATCGTTGTTTCGTATGGAAAAGTCTTTAAACCTTTTATTCTTTAATTCTCAGATTAGAGTAATAATGCAATCTACATGATGAGATGCATCAAAAAGCAGACGAAGCTTACATACATGATGAGATGCATCAAAAAGCAGAAGCTTACGTTTTCATAAATTAAATGCCCTTGCTTTAAAACAGAGCAGTTAAGTAGTTGTTAAGGACATTTTCACTTTTATATTAGTGGTTCTGTGTTGTTGAGACAAGGGGAGAATAGTATTTGACAAATATGATTTAACCAAGGATTTTAACATGCTTTATACTTGTATGCTACTGTAGAAGATTAGCATTGTCTATATCATTGTGTAAAGACACTGACACAATGTTCACAGCCCTTATCATGATAAAATAGCCCTAAATTGGATGTAATAGTAAGGCTATTTCATGCTTCATGGATCAGCGAAGCTAAAGTAATGCTGTGATTTATTTATTTATTTATTTATTTTTAATTTCTATTACTTTTTGCTCTGTGCCTTCCTGGTTTTTGTCTTGTCTGGATTGACCGAGATCCTTTCTTATCGAGATGAATCATGTCTGTAATTTCAACCTTTACTCACCACCTCAATGCAGAATGTAGTGGTAAAAGAGCATCTGAAAAGGGTGAGGAACAGAGTGCATTTTGTCAACACAATTTGTTTCTGTTGTCCACTCACTTCTGTACCAAACATTATATGACTAGTGTATTTTTGGCACTGTCTGGGTTTGGTCAACTTAAGGAGGCAATGACCAAAACAAAAGCGTTAGAATTGCACTTGATGTTAATATAGAATTTGCTGGATTTTCACAAGAGACAGAAGAACGTACGGCTGTCAAACATGGTTTAAACATGAAACATTGCCAGAAATCTCCTGACTGAATGTTCCTCCCTCTCTGTTCACAATGTCTCCAGTGAAGCAGTATCTCAAATGCCTTTTAAGAACACTTTCATCTTTCCTTTTCAGAGTCTCCAGTGAAAGGTGCTGACTGTAACACTTAATGCAGAAAAGAGTTGACTCCACCACGGCCCTTTACTTTCTGTGTATGTACAGCTGATGAAAAGGATGATCAATCTCTCTGAGCCTTTGTGTCTGTATGTCTGCACACCAGTTGGATGCAATGGCTTCTTAGCATCATTCTGCTGTATGAAGTCTTCTGTTTATCTGTCCAAAGAAAACCATATCAGGTTTCAAAACTTTTATATTTGTATTATCTTTAGTAATGGCTGCTACATGATAAAGCTGTTTGATTCTCATCAGGTCTTCACCATTTCCATTGTGTTACACAGAAACAGATACAGAGAGACCCAGACATTTTGACCTTTCCTTTTACTCATCTTTTTTGTTTTGTATTATTTTGTACATATTTCTACATATTACATATTACTATAGCAACACCAGAACTTTCTTGGTTGGCTCTCTGGGCATATGGTATAGGAAATTAATGAGTGCAGTGCATTTGCAGATATTCTCACATCACCTCACTTGCTGATGGACAGAACATGGACATCTCTTGTCTTTCCAGTCTGACATGTTGCACCAGAGCACAGGTGTTAGTCTACAGTTCTCCCATCTCTCACACTTGCCAGGGTAAGATACAGCCATCAAGGAGGAAAGAACAGGATACAGCTGGTTGATAAAAGTTGAGCTGATTAGCTTGGCACCCAGGTTAACTCCACAGCATGGTCAGTCAAACATTTTCTTGGGAAAGACACTTCTCACACCAAATCCTGATTTTGGACTGTTGGAGGAACAAGGGTACCAGAAAACAAACCTGGGGATAACAAGGGGAGAACATGCAAACTCCATAAAGAATGACCATCATTTACCACTGGTGATCTTCTAGCTCTAAGGTCTTCCACTTTCTGGCCCTCACAGAGAAATCATCATACATTAGTTGATCATCCACTGCTGCCTCCATTCGTGTTTGTGGGCTTTGGTTTTAAATCCTGAGTTGAGATGAACTTTAGTAAATTAAAACAAACTACTTGGAGACAGGAGACAAACAACTCCTTACACACACAAATCACTCCTTCTGTCTGAGGACTTTAGTGTAAGGTTGGCAAACAAAGATTCTTGTTGGATGAGGCTTACTGTCTGTCTGTTTTAGTGCTATTATAAATTCCTTTTTCATACCCATCAAAGCAACACATTTGACAGTAATTTGTCAAAGTGCTGAGATGCAGTGAAAGGTATTGTCTAAAATGTGAATAAATTTTGCTGCTGCTTAAAACAACACAAATAAATAAAAAGCTGTTGTGTTTTTCACTGCCCAAAAAGTGGTGGACTGAAATCTTCTGACAAGTTCTGTTTACTGCACATTTTTGTGGGTAGAGAATTTGTTACACAAAAAACTATTTCACATTATTTAGCTTATTTTTGTGTGTTGATATACAGTACATCTTAGCACAACTAAAATTATGCAATTATATGCCTAAGGATACTTTGGGCAGAACAGCCCCTGTTGTGGATTGTGGTGTTAGAGGTTTTTCTTTCCCCTACTCCTCTGTCAGAAGCTTATATTCCCACATTACTATCATATCAGCGCCCATACAAAGAACAGAGGGTTACTGCTGGAGTTCTTTCTCTTTCCAATCACAGATGGGCTTGGCACACAACCTTCATCTGTTCCCTCCTGGCCAGCATCTCCCCGATGGTACAGTCTCAAAGGTTTAATTAAATATCAGACCAAACTTGACTTTGCTGCTGACCACCCCACATACCAGTGAGAAAGCTGAAAATCTGAAAATGGACGGAGAATAAAAGGGGCTACAGAAAAAGTGACTGTGGGAGGGGTGTCATTTTCCCCCTGCTGTCTTTTCTGTCCCTGGCAAGGAAACTGGGAGTTGAGTTGCGTTCATTAATGGGAAATGAATAAAGCCTGCGGATGATAACAGCATTACTCCAATGGCGTGTGATGTGATTGGAAATGTGCAATGTTTATCCCCATTTCCATGTCCCCAAGATGTATTAAAATAAACAGAGATGCAAATCTTTCTCTTCATGTTCACACTGGGCCATGTATGAAACAAATTGAAGTAGGAGACTATTATGTCTCCAGCTGAAATTGAGTTTCATAGAGCTCATAACAGTACGCTTTTTTGCACCACCTTCTAATTTGTGTGTTTGCTAAGAGAACAATATGATCTATTATATCTACCAGATCTGCTCACAGTGTACTGCCAATGAATAAAACTTGCATTCCAGGAATGCAGTATTTTGGATTGAATTAACATTCCATTATTGCCTGATTTAATGTACTGTTGGGTGCACTGTGCTCCATTGGTGTGACCTCTCAGTTTACATGTTTAATAATACATATTCTCACAGCACCTCAAGCTTTGAGTCTCCAACAGTGTTTGACAGTTTTCATGCTAATTATTTTTAAACCATTTTTTTTTGTGCCCAAGCCCATCATTTTGCATGCTATCAAAGGCATGACTTATTTCTAATTTTACATGCAACTTCTTCAGTTTTGTTCATTTTATGGCGCTTGCTGCTCATTAGAGAGCCACCTTTGTGTGTTAAAAGCAAACTCCTGTAGATAATGGTCACCGTGGTGTTTATTATGCAGTGTCCACAATGATCTTGGAGAACATCATTAGATGTTCTCTCTGCTACAGTAGAGAGTAGTTTAATGTTAACCCTGATTGTGGTTCTTTAGGGGTTTAAAGTTGTCTTTTAAAGATAAGAATTCACAAAAAACTTTTTCTTTTATCTGCTGGTCTATGGTTTTGTCTTCTTATAAAGTTTCTTATTATTATCAGCGGCTCATTGGTCCTTATGTGGCCATTCACAGTTGCTGATTTTGCTACAGTATCTTGTCGTGTGGTGCATAATAAGCAGGTTTGCTATCAATTACTGGAGCTGCGGGAATGAACACCTGCCTCATTCTCACTCCATTACCTTTCCTGGCACAATACATGCCATTTTGAAATACTGTGTATGTCATTTTCGAACCACATATTGTTCTTTTTAGGATCGCCAACACTAAGTTAGTCTTCTTGTCTTTACATGTTTTAAACAGTTTCTTTCGACACCCTTGTTTTACCGCTAAGATGTCTCTATTTTTTTTCTCTAAAAATAGAAATTTTCTTTGTACCGTCCCTTCATGCTACACATGCCCCTAGGACACTATTTCATCTTGCTTTGAACTCTTTCTAATTTTGCACAGTAGCAGATTTAAAAAAAATCATTAATGAAGTCCTTTTGATTTTAAAATTGAATTTAACAACAACCACAGCGCATTTTTCTACCAAGCCACATCTGCCTCGAGTGATCCACACTCATCGTGCAGCCCGATTTTATCCTACTCAGACATGACAACTGCGAATACCTCCTAATCGTCATGTAAACAACCTCCTCTGTCCATTGGTATTCCTGTGCCACACTGTAATTAGTATTGTTGCCTGGGGTCATTTATCACGCAGATGGCAGTTGAGCTCAAGTGTATAAACTTACTTTCCTTCAGCTTCCATTGCTGCTAATCTTTTCACACATCATGCCAACCCCTCTATTTTCCTCTTACCCCCTTCAATCAAATAGACAGATAAGTGGCAGACTCAAGGGGGCATTCGTGATACAGAGTCTGTATCTTAAGTATTTTGTCTCACATTCTGTTCAACCCTTCTTCCACCCATGTCTCTATCTCCCTCTCACTATGTCTCTTTTTCCCTTTCAGATGCTAAAGAGATTGTTCTGAAAGCTCAGATTTTGGCTGGCGGCAGAGGCAAAGGGGTTTTTGACAGCGGGCTTAAAGGTGGAGTGCACTTGACTAAGGAGTAAGTATAACGCATATGTGTTTTTCACACTGCAGGAGATAGATTTGCACTATTGTTTTCTGTTCAGCAGTGGCCTTAAGCACGAGGAGACCTGGAGAGCTCTCTGAAGATGTTCCCCAAGCTAGACTCAATAAAGATTGACTTTCCTGACCATATACAGTTATTCCTAAGTCTGTCTTGCTTTGGAACAGCTACATTTAATTCAACCCTGATGAAATGATTTTACAGGTTGTTTGCCTGCTGTCGAGGTTCATTTTGTTGTAGCTTGGAATTACAAAAGACTAACAGAAGTGTTTTTCACTGGGAGCTCATTCTGAGTTATTTAAATTTCAAAGAGATGTTTTTGCTTGGAAACATGATTCACCTCCTTCAAGTTTCCTTGCACTGAAAGATTGCCTCCTTCTATTGTTTGCTGCAGCCTTTAAGGCAAAAAGGTGATTAATGTCAATTGGCCCGGGCATGTATCACCCTACTTCAGGGTATGGAATGGCTGGAAACTTTTTGAAAGTGAGATGTGCTGAAGTTCATTGTCCCAAGACAGTGACATGAGTGCACAGTTCATCTTCCTCTCATCTATCAAAAGACGAGAACAACCTCAGGCCTCATTTGTATTCACGTACTAAACCAGAGCAAGCTTTTTAGAAGCACACTCTGCATGCAGGCTGCTTTTCAAAAAGAGAGAATAGGTAGAGGTTCCTTCAGAGTTGTGAAGATGTAGCAAGTGTCTTAACAAGCTGTGCTTTGTCAGAATGTGTTACTTTGATGCCCAGGAACTGCTGAGGCACATCTTTCTCTATCTGAACACGGCTCTGAAAGATTAGGGAAATACTTAAAAAATGTCAGTTCACCTGCAAGAGCCATCATGTATTTTTTTGAAATTTATTTTGTGGATTTTTTTTAATAGCTTCTCTTGGAACCCTCTGTTTCTTGCTCTCTGCTTTAGCCCTGCTGTTGTTGGAGAGTTGGCCAAGAAGATGCTGGGTTTTAACTTAACCACCAAGCAGACGCCAAAAGATGGAGTGAAAGTGAAAACAGTGAGTCATTGCCTGGATTAATAAAAGATACATTATTTACCTTCTAATTTTTCAAAACTTGTTTAAATGATTTAAGTGATGAATTGAAATAGTTCTGTGTGGTCTCTGCACTTTGGGTTCTTTTTCTTTGTTTTTGTATCCCCCTCTTTCAATGGTGTTTCAGCTCCTCCTTCTGAAGATTTCTATGGCGTTTTATTAATTGGATTCTGTTTTTGAAAATACAAACTCTCTGCACTTTGGGTTCTTTTTCTTTGATTTAAAAGAGGATAACATTTTTGGAAAATGCTTATTAAGTCATTCTCTTTTTCTGACTAAAAGTTTATAACAATGCAACCTAGTTGTTGTGCTGAGGTGGCAGTGGCAGCCGTGCCCCCGCAGCAGAACTTGAGACCCCAGGTTTAAATAATATAGCGTTTGAAAGAAGAGATTTTAATTTACAATGTAAGATAAAAAGCCAATAAATATATTGTTTTCATGCTGTGCCATGTTTAGGTGATGGTTGCTGAGGCTCTGGATATTAGCAGGGAGACCTACTTTGCCATCCTAATGGATCGCTCCTGTAATGGTCCAGTCATGGTTGGCAGCCCACAAGGAGGAATGGATATTGAGGAGGTGGCTGCCAGCACCCCAGAACTAATTTTCAAGGTATGTGATTTGTTTTCATATCAATCACTGTGGAGTTGGATGAGATTAAAAGACTAGCAGCATTTAGCAGTTTTTATTCTATATATTTTCTGCTTAAAACAATATCATGTCACCAACAGTGTGACACCTCCACACAAACCACATTAAGCTGGAGCTCGATGTGAACCAGTTCATGGAATCACCTTTTGTGATTTTCATTTTCTGATTTATTATCCTTTCTTATAAAATGTAATCTGCAGCGGCATGAGGATGTTGTTAACAGCTGTACAATGTAAAAGTACAGATGGATCGTGCCCGCATTTGTAATTGTTTTACATCTTTCTTTTTGCTGAAGTGTGCAGATGTTGGAGCAGATTGCAAAGATCCAGCTGACATTTATATCCTTCATTATTTCTGCTCAAGCGTTCAAGATATAAATGCGTCGCACAGCTGGGGTGTTGCTACCTAACACACACAACAGTTCAAGAAACTCTGTGCTCGGCTCATTAAAATGTGCTCTCTATAGTGTGGGCCTAGTTAAAACAGGCTTGGTTCAGACACTGTGACCTCTTGTGCTGTTTTTTTTTTTTCTTTTTCTTTTTTTTTTCTTATCCAATGTGCACCTGTAATCCTGACACCATGTCATTTCATCCTCGTTCCTTCAGTTTGAGAGTCAAAGATACAAGAATCTAATGATTACATAGCCACAGCTCTGGTGTCAACTGTTGATTCTGACCATGCATGGCGGTTTGCCACAGATTAATTACAGTGTTATCATTTTAATGTGGACAGTCCCTTTGTGGCAAATTATAGCCCACTGTTGGAGCTTTCTGTTTTCCCCCATTCCCAACTTCCATTATGGTCTCTGTCTCCTACACAGGAAATCATAGACATATTCGAAGGTGTGCGTGATGACCAGGCCCTTCGCATGGCAGCTAATTTGGGTTTCAAAGGACCTCTGCAGAGACAGGTAATATAACCGATAAACCATATTTTTGGTTAAAAATCGGTACGTGAGACAGATGTGTTCTCATTTCATTAACTTCAAAAACTGAACTTTGGTTACTATGACTTATTATAGCTTTACAGAAGCATGTTGAGAGGTGTCATTACACGAAACTCTCTTGCCAGGTGGTCTATTGTCATATCTGGCAGTGACGCACAGCACTCTGCCATTCTGTGGCAGTCGACATCGCTAATGATACGGTTATATGATAGAAGGGGCTGAACATCAATAATTTAGGAATGAAATATGCAGTGAAATGTGCAGTTCATCCAATGAACTGAAAAGTGGTTTGGGCAACACAATATATTCCTCCGTAGACTATTATTTATTACACCCAAGATTCATAATTCATATGTAGACAGCAACCACCAGCAAAACAATGGAAGATGACAGATGATGGAAGATGATATTCCTAAATTTTTCAAGGATTCAATGATTCATTGTTTCCAAAACAATGTTTTACTGGTTTCAATTATTACAATAGCTCTAGCTTAATTTAAAAAAAGCTCCAGCTTGTAATTGGATTGTAGAAATGGTAATTGGAAAAAGACCTTTTGTCTGTATATGCATATTGGCAATAGCAAAGTCAGGACATACATTATATAATAACAATATTAATAATTGAGTCCCTTAATCGTCCCACGTTTGAATCAGGGCTGGTAATAGTATTCCAATTATTGTGTTAAATAATTTGTTAAATTAATTGGATTAAAATGGTTAAATTATTGTATATTGTATACTGCAATGTATATTCGATCATCAGAAAGAAGCGATAATTTCATTATACTTTTATTCATGCCAAAGGTGAAGGTGGACATTACTTATATCTACCGGTATTTCTTAAGGATTGTTTTTTGTCAATAGATGCCTCTCGAGAGCCTGTTTAATTGATAAATAGGTTGACAAAACTACTCAGTGCCGCTGTGTCTGACATTTATGATTAATCCTGTAATAAAGCCACAGATCCTATTTATGGGACCAGTGGATGCCAGTGTTATTTCCGTAATAAAAGCATGTTTTTTTAACGTATGTTAGGTATGAGAATAAATTAAACCCTGTTAACTTTCACCCGTGTGGGTTGACACCACATGTTATTTACATTTAATTGATGCCACCTGTGGAGTTAGATTATTTTGACTATTGAATCCCTCTGCATCTCCCACACATTAAATACATCTTCTATAATGAGGTCTGGGGCCTGAGTTGACACACTGAATGAGCAATGAAACCAGATGCTGTTTTGAATGCTGTGTAGAATAACTAGTTAAAATTGTCAGTTGCATGAATTAAACAACATTCTGTCCTCAAAGTTTGCTGATGCCTACCAAAATCCTGAATTAAGTTTTTGATTATTTGTTGTTCAAATAAACATGGTGTTTGATGTCACTGTATTACATAGCATTGCAGCATAGCATAGTTTGTGTGTGTCTGTGAGTGTCCATGTATTCTATGTAATTAATGTAAGACAACTTTCCGTAATAGTGCTTGTGTTCCGTATTTTGTTACTTGAATGTAATGTTCCCGTCAATCTCAGAAATACACATTAGTGTCAGACAAACTCAGACGGCATGGTGTTCAAGGCTGATTTGCCGTGTCTTATGCAGCCTTTGTGCCAGGTTGAGTAGCCTCAGTGGGGCCGGCCCCTCAGGTCTGAACCATCAGGTAATTACTTTTCTCTTTGGACCATACAGGCAGCCGATCAGATTAAGAGGCTCTATGATCTGTTCCTGAAAGTCGACGCCACTCAGGTCGAAGTCAATCCTCTCGGAGAGACTCCCGAAGGACAAGGTACCCTGTGACACAGAAGATGTCTTTGTTTTGTCTGTGTGTCTGTTCATGTGACCGAGCTTCTCTCTTGTTGCTTTATTTTTGTTTGTGCGTTCATAAGGTTTGTTTGTTTTTTGTTTACCTTCTCCTTCTGTGACGGCTCCTGTTTCAGATAAACTCAAGGTCATTTTAATCCTCTGCTGATTTAATTGAAAAATATATGAGAAAAACTCATGGTCTACCAACTATGAGAACACACTTTAAGCCTGCAAAACTTAAAATGTGTTTATAGTGACAGTGTTAAACAGTGTTAAAATTTGCCCGCACCCAGTCTCTTTTATCCATCCACATACATCATCTCAATGATACACTCACATATTTTCTTCCAAATTGCACGAGTTAAGTGGTGGAAATTGACAAAGTGATCACCCATTTGCTCATAACTACCTCAAACCATTAATTAAAACCAAACTCCTTTTGAAAATGTTATTGCAGCCATTAATCAAGTAAGAAAAACCCTGACTTTCACATGTCCTTCGATTAACGTTGAATTATTCTACTAACTACTAGAGATTGAACTATTATTGATGTTCTTATTTTCACTTTTATGAAACATGATTCAGGATGTTTGCAGTTTTACTCAGTTTCACATAGTTTCTTTAAATAACAAATTATTACAATTACTTTGAAAAAGAGATTTAGAGTTGTCACATGTCAGTAAAAGTACAGACATCGCCATATGGGATTTTTTTTTCTCTACCTCAAGCGCTGAATTGATTGCCATTGCAAATTAATTCATTATAAAATCTGTATTTTCTACTAGTTTAGCTTTATCGCTTAAAATGAAACTAAATGGACAAATCGTTGTTTATGAGGCAAAATAAAATGTGTATATTTAAAAAAGTGGAGCAGCTTCAGCTGAACTTGAAATGAACTTTTCATTTTCTTCTCTGCTGTGTGACTGAACACAGACCGACTGTGATGTCCTTCATTCAGACGCAGCTGAACACACCGACGCTGCGTCCTCTCTGATGTTATTTGGTTTGCTCAATAGCATTTCTGTTCAAAGTGTATGTTATCAAAGAATGGCAAAAAAAAAGAATTTTGTTATTTTATCATCTCTTATGAATATTAATATTTGAAAACGCCTGCTCTCAAATGCAGGAGATGTATAAATACCCTTTTCTTGCAAAAGAGCTGAAACAGCCTGTGAAGGTGAGCTGTACATTAAAACCAACTCATTCTCTGGTTCTGTTTATATGACACGGGGGCAGGCGGCTATTTTCCAGCAAGGGTTCGACAGACGTGCGTTGGAGGTTTCTCAAAGGTTGTAAATTAGACGATAACTGAATTCATTTTGCAGAGGCTGAAATAACAGATGTGTCCAAATAAAACAGAAGGGACTGTCTAATGAGAGAGCTACTTTACCTGCAGGACACTCTCTGAAGAGTCTGCATGCTGCTCTGTCTCATTTGTGTGTGTGATTTGTGGGTTTTTTTTGTCTTTTAGTTTATTCAACGTTTTTACCATTGTTTTTTTCCTGACCTATTTTTTTATGTGCTGAAGCTGTTGCATCCTTGAAATCTTTAATTCCATCACTGCTCTCACTGCTGTCTTTTTTTTGGTTGTATGGGAACTCAATCGCCTTGGAATTTTAAATTTTAAGTATGAAATCCTTGGTGTTTTCATTCTCCTCCATTTTCTACAGCTGTTTGTTATTTCTTTTTTTAACCTCATTTCATCTTCTTTTAAAAACCTTTGGCACATTCCGAAAAAAAAAAAATAGAATGAGACAATAGACACCACGGGCAGTAAGCATTTTATAACAATGAGAAAAAACCCACAGTCAAAACTGTTGTAATTAGTAACGTGATTGAACCAATTATAAAACAATTAATGTTATTAATATAATTCAAATAAGATCCATTTTATGGTGTCTTAGGTCAGTGTTAGGGTTGTTTATAGTAAATAAGTTTAGTTCACCAATTAAATCAAGTTGACCTGCAATTGCATTATCGTAGGTTCTTTTGGCAGACGTATAACAGTTTAACTAGATTCAAGATTAAAGATGTTTATTGTCATATTGTTAGAATGCAGCCACTCAAGCAGTGTACTGAAAAAAAAAGTTCCCCCTTAACAGCCAACAAAACACATTTTAGAAATAAAACAGAACAGTGAACCAATATAGGCAGTAGCAAAACACAAAAGTGACAGAAATAAATAAGCTATGCCATACTAAAATAAAATTAAAATAAAATGAATTGCACTGTGAAAAAAACTACTCCATAAAAGCAGTTATTTTGTTGTATTCACAAAAAGATTGAGTTTTCTAGATAGGGTTTCCATTCATATATGTATGCCAAAGACTCTAAATCTTAGATTTCAGAGTCAAATTAGTTAAATGTCCAGATAATCCAGATTTTAATCTAAATTGCTCACCTTTCTATGCTAAAAACCCATTCTTTAAAAATGGCCCCTTGTTCCTTCTTTTACAAACCATGTGTATTTAATTTGAGATATTATAACAGTGTGTGTCGGCACAGAAGCTGGATAACAACAAGTTTATGAGGTAAATTTAATTTGAAGCAGAGCCTTATTGAAAACAATGTTTTGTTCTTCACTCATTAGACAAAGTATTACTTCATGCCTCCTGTTTCCTGTTGTGTTAAGTGCTAATCGTAGAGGCAAAGACCACATCCCTCTTAAATATCTGTTCACAGGTTTGATAAACAATTAGTTATAGAAATGCTGTCTGTTCACTGCTATAAATATTATTTCGTACACCATATACTTTAAAGTTGTATCTCCCATCTCTTTGAAGATTAATTTTCCCTGATTCCTTATCTGCCCATTTCCTCGATCTGCACAGTTTTTTTATCTTTTACTTGTTGTTGAATTGTTTTTACATTCCTGACTCTGTCCTTGTCTACCCTGCACCCTGTCTTCTACCCAGTGGTTTGCTTTGATGCCAAGATCAACTTTGACGACAATGCAGAGTTCCGTCAGAAAGCTGTGTTTGCCATGGACGACATGACGGAAAGCGACCCCACAGAGATGGAGGCAGCCAAGTGGGACCTCAAATATATTGGACTGGATGGGAACATTGCTTGCTTTGGTATGGAAATATAATCGTACCACCCTTCACAACCACAGCAATAAACACAAAAACATATAAGTCACACCAGTCTATACATCGCATTTATTTCTGAAGGAAATATTTCATAGAAATCTAAGGACGTTTAATCTGAACAGATTATACTGTAACCTAAGGAAGTTGGTTTAATATTAAACAGGTTAGGTGTTTGATATCAGTGTTTTCCAAAGCATAATTTGTGTTTGTGTGTCCATGTACTATATGTCCCGTGTTTTTTTTATATATATATATCTTTCATCAGGAATGAAGAACCTTAATTTCAGACCTGTTTCCTTGACCAACTTCAGGACTTTCAGTTGCTTCATTTAATGCTCTATTGCAGAGACACTTGTCTACAGTTAAAAGTTGCTACAGTAAAAGCTGCCAGGGCTTTCCTCTTGTCCACGTAACAAGCAGCTTTCTGAGGACTCCAGAAGGAACACTGCCATAACCAATGTGTTCTAATTAGCTATAATCCACCCAGAAAGTCTCCAGTGAGCCGGATTGTTAGCATTCTCATTAAAGGCCCCCTCTCTTGTCATAAATCAAAGCTTTTACAGTGTGCAGCAGCACTAACAGGTGCTCTTTCTTCTCACCCCAAGCCTCATAAACACATTAGATGTCTGTTAGCGCCGCATCCCTCACATAGACACACGCACGCACGCTAACCCTCAGTCTGCATCCCCAGCTCCCTGCCTCTTAAAGTAACAACAGCTTTTAAAGCCCTGCAGCTTCTTTGAGAGCTCGGTGCACCACCAAAGTGACAGCTGTTAAAACAAATTTCCTTTTTATTGAGACCACAGTCAGGGAGCTTGCCAGGACAAGAGTCGAGTCAGGCTAAACCAAATAAGGTGAGGGGGATTTTTTTTTTTCTTCCCGGTGTGCACTTGGCTCCCTCACAACCCAGCAGGGTAGCTCTGCTGGCACTTAGTTAAATGATGACACAGGTTGCGGAGAAAAGGAAGCACATCAGTCTCTTTTCATCAGCTCTCTCTCCTCCATAGTCTGGGCGTTATAATGATAATAATCACATTTCTTCTGTAGCCTGACTTGACATATATTGTCTAATTAGAATTGTGAAGAGATTATTGCTCTTTTGTGAGTTCTTGACATGTCATTGCTTGTCTTTGCAAGTGTGTGTGTGTGTATATGTATACACACACAGACACACACACACACACACATATATATATATATATATATATATATATATATACTTCTTTGAGTCTGAACAGTTCCAACAATTTTATATCAGCTTGCACGTTTTTCAACATGGCACAAATCATTTGTTCGTATTGTTTGCAACAAGAATATTTTCTTTGGATTTAAATTTAATTTGCTGATGAAGTGATTTTTTTCCTTTATAGTGAATGGAGCTGGATTGGCCATGGCCACATGTGACATCATCGACCTGCATGGTGGGAAGCCCGCTAATTTTTTGGATCTGGGTGGAGGAGTCAAAGAACGGCAGGTGTACGAGGCCTTTAAGCTGCTCACCGCTGATCCTAAGGTACGTTTACAGTACATGAGATGCATTTTCTTAAATGGTGCTTTATTGAAGCCTGTCTGCACACAAAGTGCACTGCATCCTAAGGCGTATGAATCTTTTGAGTCTTTTCTGACAGATTGTGTTTATAATGCTTTTGGCAAGGTGGGTTTGCTGGGAAATGTGCACTGAAGTAAATGTGCCATAATGCAAGGTTGAACAATCAAATCTGCACAGAGGCATTTATGGTCAGAGAGCATCATCCCAGTGGAAGTTAGCTGAACAGAAAAAGAAAACAGGTCCCTGCGGCAGACAGTGTTAACACCAGTGTACCAAGAGTTCTGGAAAATATTAGAAAAATATTATCCAGAACAGTGTCAAATATAACCGCTTTAATTTTCTAGTCAAACAAACAGAACATTTTATAAATATTGACAAAAAAAGAGCTGACATCGACATTTATGGTGTGTGAAAGAACAAGATGATCAGTTTGTGTTTTCTGATGGCGCTCAGATGTTTGCAACAAAATGTTGGAGACACAAGTGCTATTTACTTTACTGTACTTTGTTGGAAAAGCAGCAGCAGTGCAGGGGGTGCCAACAAGCTCAATAAACTTCCCACCAAGGCTGTGTCTGTTATTGGAATCATTCTGGAGATGTTTGAGTCAGTGAGGAACAGAAGGTCACTGAACAAACTGCCCTCCATCATTGATAACAAATCCCATCACCTTCATGACACGCTGCTGAGACAGCAAACTCTTTTTCACAAAGACATGCTCTGCTTTCGTAAAAAACAAATGCAAAAAAAAAAAAAAATCCAATCCAAATCAAAAAAAAAAAAAAAATCTACCACATACAATTTTCTTCACATCAATCCAAATGTATTAAATTTATATATTAATTATTATGTTATGATATATGTGTATAAATGATGAAATTTGCATTATCTTGTATTTTTGTATTTTCCAGAAGGGTAGTTTGTATAACTAAACATGTTATTGCTCATTTTGGCGTGGTCAAGACTGTGTGCTCACTCCATGTTAAATTATATTTTATGCAGCAGCCATGTTTGGTATTAAATCACATCCACAGATGCTTCTTGGTCTTGTAAGTGCTTTGTATCCAAGTCAACAGCAGCTTTTATTAGACTGAGGACCTTCCCCTATGTGCATGTTTCACTGACTCTGGATGGTTGTGTGATTATATGCCATCATGTTCAGTCCCCAAGGCTTCATGATTAATCTCTCGTCTGCTCTCATAAAAAGGAGATAAAAAAAAAAATCCTCCACTTCGCAATACATGTGCCACCGCATATACATGTTTCACACAAGACAGGCTCAATTTGGGTTGTAAAATGAATAAACAAGTTTTCATCAGAGCAAGGTTCTGAGAGTCTCCCGGCATGGAATGAGTGGCAGCTGGGGGTGTTTTACAAGTGATGCAGCGCTGTGTTCAGAAAGCTAATAACTCCAAACTAAACATTGTGATCCCTGTAATGACATACTGCAGCGTTGAGCATGTGTCGACAGTACTCACACTGCCAGTTCCCCTGCTGCCGCTGCTGCTGCTGCCGCTGCTGCTGTCACCCTTTGTCCATGCTTCAGTCTCTACTTGACTGTTGATGTCTGATGTCTATGTGATTATAGACCTACATTTTAAGTTGTTGACTCTGTTTTTTTTTATCCAATTGACATGAGGGAATCTGACTTCGAAGTTACATATGACTTGGACTCCAAAGCAGTTGCATAGAGCAGCGGTCCCTGAATACCTGAAATCAGTGTGTGAATGGGGAGGGGGTCATAGAGACCCCTGGTAGGTTGGTATCACCTGGGCGACACACCTGTCTTTGAATCTGTCTGTGTTATGAGATGAAAAAGATTTGAGTTTTCTGGGGAGATAACACAGGGCAACATTGTAGGTAGATGAGAGATTGTGTCTTAATTCACCTCGTCTGTAGAGTGATGGATTCTTCACCACTCCACTTTACTCTATAAGGACTCTTGTTTTATGTATTCAGCCACTCAGAGGTTAAATACCAAAATCTTCCATCATTTGGTTAGAACTGAAGAAGCCTCTTGGGTGAAGGATATGTCTTCAAGAAACCATTACAGTCTAGTTTTCCTTGATCTAACTGCTTTGGATTAGATGGCCTGGATGACTAAGAACGTACACAGATCTGTCACTTGGAAGTTTGTAATTATTAGAAAAATAATCAAACTAATATTTACATAATAAATACTAATTTCCAAAAATTAGAAAGCCACTATTCTCTCCCAGTAGAGAACATGTAACGTGACTGACATTGGTGTTCCCATCTGCAGCGGATTCTTTTGCTTCTGATTAGAAGGTACTGTACGTCTGCTGCCTGTCCCCACTCCTGCTGTGTGTGGAAATGGAGACATGAGGCTCCGCCTTAACAGGAGAAGAAAGTGGAATGGGTTTGACATTAAACTGGGTTGTAAGCACCATTAGCATTTCAACCAGGGGAGCTGGGAAATCTGCTCTGATCTTTGGAGGGAATATTAATCACTTTACAATGAGCAGAAAAGAAAAGGAAAGAAGAGCTGCTTATTTGCATATAGTTATTTATTTTTGTAACAACTACTTCCAGCAAAGTCCAAATTTAAAACCCAAAGAAATATTTCCTTTTTTTTTTTTTTTTAACTTGCCGTGGTTTATTTTTTGGTTAATTTTTGGTTGTATGTGTTGGTTGATTTATATCTCTTATTCATTGATGAAAAGAGACTGATGTGCTTCCTTTTTAACTCCAGTCTGAGGTCTCTTGTTCATTACGCTGAGGAGCAACGTGACCTCTGTGAAAACTGAAAAGCAGAGACAAACTGAGACAAGTCAGCTCTCTGTTGTTTGCTCCTATCACTGCTGTCTGTTCACAAAACAAACATCACAGTTGTCTGAAAACAGACTCAATACATTCACAAAAGAAAATAGTCTAAATCAAAGGTTAATTGAAAACATCAATCATAAAGCCATTATATTTCATTCCATATCTAATACATTTATATTTTTTCTGCAGTTTTGTTCAAATGTTTGCCAAATTATAGACGTATTAGTCTGTCTGTATGTTTTTTATAACAAGCTTCACCTTCATCTTATATAACCAGCTGTTGACACTGAGAATCCTACTTAGTTTTGCTTCAAACACTGCCATAACAGGCAGCCATTAAACCTTGGGTTACGTGTGTGCAATATAGAAGGTTTAAGGCTGTTTTCTATTACCTTTATATGATGGAATTTTTTTTAAAACATATCACTATTCTGTGTTTCTCTTTTGTGCTCTTGTCTATTATCCATCCATTTTTATAATAATAGTTTATGATGGTTACATAAGCTAACGCCAGCGATTTAAGATTCAGAATTATTGATAATTTCCTCAGTATGAAGCTAATTACAGAGTATTATACTGGGCTCAGACAACCTCCAGATGTAAATTAAAAGAGCTTGCTCATTATCAGGTTGACTGAAAACGCAGCTGTGGATCAGGAGATTGAATGGGTCACCTTTTGACCCCAAGGTCAGGGTTCTGTTTGACTATGTGCCAGTGTGTCCCTGAGCTGAACACTTTGCTCTGAATGGCTCATTATACACAAAAGGGTTGGAGTCTGTGTCCTCAGAGTGCACATGCAAGTGCTTTTTAGAGGTTTAAAAATTACTGAGACTGTGTAAAAAGGTTTCCATCAGATTGCTGGTTAATGTTGGTTAAAAAACATTAACATTGTTTGTTTGCCTCAACTAAACTATTACAGGGCAGAGGTCATGTGGGTCCTGGCCTTGAGTTACCCCTCATTACTACAGTTAAGTTTAAATAATAACATAATTTAGAGAATATATAGTCAAAGGTTTTGGTTGTTTTTCTCTTGGCCTCTATAATAACTAAAGATTTCATTGTTTCACTTTACATGTAGTGTGTACATTTATTTTCCAAAATAACCATCTCTGACTGCAAGTGCAGTGTACTACAGACTAGTCAATGAAGGGACTGCCTGTTGTAATTTATAATTCTGTAAATGTGTCTTTTAAATACAATTTGAAAACTATATGAGGTGAAAATATAATTTTTAATTATAATTATATATAAATAATTATATTTTTGATAATGTACCAAAATTGGGCATAGATAGAGGGATTGTGTACTGCTACGCTTACCTCTGTGTAAAATATCACACAACAACGAAGCTTAAGTTGTTTGTAAAAGCAAATTAATCTCATGAAATATAAAGATCTTGTGTCAGTACTTCAGTGTGTTGTTATCTGTTTGTTTCTGGTTGTTACCTGAAGGCTCGTTGCATCCTGCTACTGTCTATTTTACTACATAGTTGTACACGGCAGCCGTGTAGTGTTCTCTTCTAAAATGAGCTGTAGTTCAGCTGTGCAAGAGCCCTGCCAGGCAAATCTGGTTAATGTTAATGTGCATGTGCTAATGCTGTGTAATCACTGCTTTTTTGTGTCCCCTAGCGCTTTTTCCCTATTATTCTATTTGCAGCTGAGTGCCTGTGCATCGGCTCACCTGTGCTACTTCTTCTACACTATTTTCCTTTATCCATTTTTACACAGACAAAAACTCTTCGACCTATTATTTTGTTACATTGACACAGTTCATTAACATTACGGTTAACACATTCCTGGACAACTTATGTGTGTGATGCCAGTTTCTTATTGGACCATTTTCCTTCAGTTTCCACATTATCTCCCTCATCTTCTCCTGTTTCGTGTCTACATCTATTCTTCGTGGCTCTACTGTCTTTCCTGTAGCTTTTGCACGGCTAAAATTGATTAAAGTCAATTTGAGCAGCTCCCCCCAGTGTATGCCTGTCAGCTAAAGCCCAGGGACAGGTGCTCTCATGCTCATATGGAGAGAACTGAACCCATGTCTAATATGCTCCTGCATGTTTGAAGTCAGAAAATCCAGTGCCCTTGGTCCAACGCAGGTGAGCCTGAGTAATGGCTCATGTAAAAGTTATGCACTTAGGTATCCTAAGGCCAAAGAAAGATAGAGAAAATAAACCA